TGGCTTGTTTGGAATATCATAAATTGCTGTATAGATGTCTGAGTCCCCGCCATCGAGTCGCGCCGAGGAAGTGCGAAAAGTGAGTTACTCCACAACTGTCTACTAGGCGATCCGGCATCAATTCTCTTTGCTTGCTACATTGAGCTTCCATTTGTTCTCTTGTTAATCTGCCTCTAGCTTCTGAGCGCAGTCGAAGATCTCCTCATCCCGTTCATCCAGTCCGCAGACGAAAATCCTCTTGGCCTTGCGCTCCAGCAAAATGGGGTCAATGGAACGAATGGTGCGAATGGTGCGAATGGACACTTGAAAAAGCCGTGGACAGCTTTAGTCGACTACAAAAAGCCGGAAGAGCTTCGGGATATTCTGCAATTATCTCTACCGGAAAAGGGTGCCAGACAAGATGGCTTGATTGAGGTTCTCCGCAAAGTGTTGAAGTATTCCGTGAATACATGGCATCAAGGATTTCTCGACAAACTATATGCCTCAACGAATGCTCCCGGCGTGGCATCCGAGCTGATTTTGGCTGCTCTCAACACGAACGTGCATGTCTATCAAGTCTCGCCGGCTTTGACTGTTATCGAAAAGTATACGGGAGAAAAATTGGCTTCGCTATTTGGTCTGAACGGACCACGAGCAGGTGGAATTTCTGTACAAGGTGGCTCAGCATCCAATACCACCTCCATTGTCATTGCGCGCAACAACCTATACCCCGATACGAAGAAAAATGGCAACGGGGACTACAAATTTGTGCTCTTCACCAGCGACCACGGCCATTACAGCATCGAGAAGGCGGCACAGATGCTGGGCTTGGGAAGCAGCTCCGTCTGGGCAGTGCCCGTGGACAAGCAAGGTCGCATGATCCCGGAAGAACTCGAGAAGCTTGTTCGGAAAGCCCTCCAGGAGAACAGGACACCGTTCTATGTCAATGCAACTGCTGGAACGACAGTAATGGGCTCCTTTGACCCCTTCAACGAGATCGCCGCCATCTGCCAGAAATACAACCTCTGGTTCCACGTTGACGGCTCATGGGGCGGCTCGTTCGTTTTCTCAAAGCGCCAGAAACACAAACTTGCTGGCGCTGACAAAGCAAATAGCATCGCCATTAACCCTCACAAAATGCTCGGTGTCCCCGTGACTTGTTCTTTCCTCCTAGCGGCAGACATCCGCCAATTCCACAGGGCAAATACTCTCCCAGCCGGCTACCTGTTCCACAGCGACGACACGGAACCGCGACCCAACGGCGACCTCAGCACAGCGGAAAACGAGCTCTCCGTCGATTCTCCGGAGGTCTGGGACCTGGCTGATCTCACGCTCCAATGTGGACGACGCGCAGACTCCCTCAAGCTCTTTTTGGGCTGGACGTACTACGGCACCGAGGGATACGAGCAGCAGATCGACACGGCCTGCGATATTGCCGCACATCTGGCGACTCTCGTCTCCGAGAACCCTAACTTTATCCTCATCAGTGAGAACCCTCCCCCTTGTCTCCAGGTTTGCTTCTACTACGCTCCGAGCGGACAGCTCGCACATCCACGCGGTGTTGTATCGAACGAGACCGAGCGCGCAAAGTCAAACAGCAAGGTCACGGAGGAGGTGACCCATGCTCTGGTGAACAACGGGTTCATGGTTGACTTTGCACCTCCTAGTGGGGACGAGAACGCTGCCGGGGACGGAAAGTTTTTCCGCTGTGTCGTCAATGTCCAGACGACTCGCGAGACTGTTGAAGCTCTTGTGCGTGCTATTGACGAGGTGGGCCCGGCCATCATCGAGAGACTCAAGGCCGAGCCTGCTTCGCTTCCTAAACGGAGGCCCGGAGAACGGGGTCACGGACCTGTGGTCCACTGGGCTTAGACGCGATCATGATTCTGTTATAGTGTACGACTACTGCATATGTACAAATAAACAAACGAGGTACAGATCCGCCGGAGAAGGGCTAGTATATAGAATTGAATGATACCCCATTCGTGAACCACCCAGGGATGATCTCGAGCGACTGCATTAGTTTTGTTTACTATGTAGTGCCCGCCCATGCTAAGAACCAATCTCGACTCGTCGCTCAAGGACAGCTCTTGCCTCAGCTTCTGTAAGGGTCTCGATATTCAACGCAGCGAGAACGCCTCGAGCGCTCTCGTTATCCCGGAATAACCTCTTCTCCACCCCCCAAAGCCCAAGATGGGGTTCTCCCTGCGTATCAGCGTCCTCCTGGGCCGCAGATACGTCGCCAGACTTGGGAGTGGCAACCGTCAGCCCCAGCAGTAGAAGACCGTCGCTGAGCTTTGCAAGAACTCTGATCGAGCCTCCTGTCAGGCCGGCCGATCCCAAAGCGACATCGACAACATTGCAGAGGTGGCCAATATCACTGGAGAATTGCGCTGCTCCCGCAGCGGAAAAGGTATGTCTCATGAGGACGTTACTCCAAAGATTAGTTTGAACGGAGAGAAGTACCTGGCGAATGATTCGACGTAGCGGTGCTATGCCCAGTGCGCGCGATAGGAAAGAGGTGCTAGTGGATAAGGTTCGCATTGCAGGCGCAAGATCCGCCGACGGCGGTAACGAGGTTGTCTCGGAAGGTGAGGTAGTAGAAATAGTCGCCCACGCAGACATGCGAACATATGGTTTGAGGGCTGCCTGAGTGTTTGAGATCAGGGTCGAAGTGAGAATCGATTCAGAACGCAGCCTGAGGCGACGATAGGCGGATGCTGTTTCGTCGAAGAGAGCTCCATCCGAGCTTGTACCTTGGCCGCTGCTATGGTGACCATTTGCGACCACCTGAGAGGTACGAGAAGCAACGTCTGCTACAGACATAGGACCGGCCACATTCCTCCCTGAGTCCTTATTCTGTCTGACTCGTTCTTGTAGCTCAGACCACAGTTCGACGAAGAACACATCATTACTCCAGTCTTCCATCTTCTTCTCCAGGTACTCGGAGCTCCCAAAAACCCTGCAGAGACGCTCCAATCCCGCCACACCTTCCACGCTGGCCTGTCCATCTGCGCCTTGTACCGTGCGGCCAATCGTAGATGTCATTGCAAGGTAAGCTTCAAGTGCGGAATGGAGGCGCTCGTGAAACTGGTCGAAGATTGTAATCTGAATGTCGATAAGGAACCGCAGTTTTTGACCGAAAGATGACAGAGGCCGATACAATTCAGTAATTGTTTCAAGCAGATCATTTACGCGAATCGCTGCTTTGGTGGGTTTGGTTGCCGAAAGCTCGACTCCTTCGTAGTCAATCTCACCGCTGTCTGTTGCATCAATAATTTCCTTATAGCGGGCCAGTGCAAAGTCCTTTTCAACCTGAAGCCAGCGATCAAACCATCCCTCCTTGGTGAGAACCTCCCACGTCATTCCCTTCCAATTATCCTTAGAGTATGGATCAGGCAGATAATTCCAAGTCTCCCGAATCTCGTTGTCAAAGTTCATCAGCTCGTGTACGAGATGGCTGAGCAACTGCGGATGTGCAGAAATGCTAGGAAGCAAATTCGATAATTTCTGCCTCAGCATCGGCAAAAGAGCCGTGATAAAGGCATGAGAGGCGTTGTAAAAGTTCCATTCCAGAGCCGAACCGACTTCTTGGGCCTTCTTGTCGAAGACAGGTTGCAGCGAAGAAGCGAAAAACCCGCCAAAAGTGTTGATCAGGTCCACGACGTGACCCAGGAAGTATTCTGGCTGTTTGAAAAAGTCAGTTAGTTTTCCCGCACTGGCAACGGCGTCTATACCTTGTCAAGTCTATTTGTTGGCTTATCTCCGCTGAAGTGGTATTTGAAGCGAAGATCCAGCGGATGTACCATCACTTCCAACGGTAACAGGATCGGTGGTTCGGCACTCTGCTGCTTCACATCGATATCACGTCTCGTGAGTTCCCTATTCAGTAAAGTGTCAGAAAACCAAGCAGCGAAAAGAGACAAGAGTTGCGTACGGTGTTTGTAAATCAAGAAGCAATTCGACATTCTCGATCCACTGTGTCCTCAGATCTTCTGGTAGACGGAAGTCCTTCGAAGGCCATCCCATTTGTTCTAGTGTCTTCTGAAGCCTCTTGGAAAAATTCTCCTTCATCTGTTTTCTCAGACCAGAGGCCAGTTTTTCCAGGTAGTCGACAAGATGAGGGGCCGCTCCTTCGGCTGCGGGTTGAGCATCCTTCAGCGATTGTACAATGTTTCTCAGGCGCGAATACGGTTCTAGGGCCAGACGAGGTGAAGACTGTATGTTGCTCAAGGCCTCCTTGCTGTTTCAGTATCCGGTATCAGTGACACTGCCGGAAGGGGAATGGCTCTTTAGGTTCGCAAGTACCTCAATTCTTCTGCTTCCCTCAGGAGGGTCACATAACCCTTTGAGATCTCCAGTCGTCGGAGCTTGTCTATGCTCACTTCAAAGCGCTTTGCTGCCTCATCGCTGGCGTCGGAACCTGTTATGGCTTTCAATCGCTTATCGATATCCTCTTGCTCCTCCTTGAAGGCTTCGGCTCGCTTCCGTGTGGCTTCGGCATGGTCGTTGGAGGCTTTGGATGCACTGAGCAGTGCTTGTTGGGCTTCTGCTAGCTGAGGTATCGTGTCAGCAGTGGTTATTAAAGGAATAAAAGTCAATCGCTTAGGAAGATGTAATTCTCGATCCCGAGGGCGCTCTACCTGTTTCCGTTGAAGTTCATGCTGAGCGCGGAGCGTGGCTAACAACGAATCAAGGCTCTCAAAGTCGGCAGATATTTGAATCTTGTCATTCAAGTAATCCTCAACTCTCGTCCTTTCATGCGACGACAGGGAAAAGGAAGGGCCTGCCATGGTTGGCAGTCGAGTTGCAGTTCTGGGGTGGGGATGTTGTCCGTAAATCGTCATTCATGCCAACGCCAGGTGTTGCGATCAATCATCATCAACGCCAACTCCGCCTTACGATTTGTTCAACTTCCGATGACTCAACATCTCCCTTTATCGGTTTAGACATCATGTAGTCTGAATCCGAGGACATTGCTAACTGCCTCTGCGCAAATATTTTAATCCCAAAGACTGAAAATGTCCAGCCCTGCCAAAAAGCGCAAAAGAGAGGCTCCAGAATCAACCCCACAGCGTTTTCGGAGCATAGCGTCATTCTTCCAGGGCCAAGCCAACAAACAAGCCGAGAAGACGCAACGGATTGTTGACTCTGCTACTGAAAATGCAGCAGAAGAAACACTATCCGACGAAGCCTTTGCTCGCAAGCTCCAAGCGGAGTTCGATAAAGAGGATACTGCGCCGGCCGTTGAGCCTGAGGTTCCGGATTATAGGCCTATCCAGGAACCTTACGCCTCGATAGAGACAGATCGGGGACCGCCAAGCAAAGTCCCCAAAAAGAATACAATTTCGTTGCAGTCCTCTGTTGGGACAGAGGATACAATAAGTCTTTCCATCCCTTTTGACCAGAGTCCGTTGACGTTCGACTCCACCAAATGCGCGGCAGAGTTGCAGGTCCATTGGGCTACGGAGGGTGGAAACGCCTCATACGCCCTGCTGACCAGAGCATTTGTGTTGGCAAATGCAACGACTAGTCGAATCAGGATTGTTGATACTTTGGTCAATTTCCTTCGAGTTCTGATCGAAGGCGATCCTTCCAGTGTTTTACCAGCAGTCTGGCTGGCGACCAACTCGATTTCGCCGCCATACGACGAATTAGAACTTGGCTTGGGAGGCTCCGCGATATCGAAAGCACTGAAGAAGGTCTACGGGCTCAATCCTTATGGGCTCAAAAGTCTCTACGACAAGTATGGAGATGCTGGCGACGTGGCTTTCGAGGCAAAGAAAAGACAGAGCTTCACCTTAATGAAGCCCAAGCCTCTGACAATTAAAGGTGTCTATCAATCGCTGAGGAAGATTGCGATGAGCAAAGGGAGTGGCAGTCAGGAGTCCAAGCAAAGAATTGTGGAGAAACTCCTACAAGACACTCGAGGAGCGGAAGAGAGTCGGTATATTGTACGAACGCTGGTGCAAAATTTGCGAATCGGGGCTGTCAAAACAACGATGCTTATCGCGCTGGCTCGAGCCTTTCTATACTCAAAGCCTGAAGGCGCAGAATTTACGATCCGTTCACGACAAGATTTATCACGACTAAAGAAGGAGGAACTGGCCGAAATTTACAACAGGGCGGAAGAAATCGTGAAGGCATCTTATGCCAGGCATCCAAACTACAACGACTTAGTCACATGCTTACTTGAAATCGGAGTTACCGAAGAACTTCTTCCGCGGTGCGGCCTGCAGCTTCATGTGCCTCTGAGACCCATGTTGGGCAGTATCACGAGAGATCTCTCTGAAATGCTAACAAAGCTGCAAGGACGGGATTTTAGTTGTGAGTACAAATATGATGGGCAGCGTGCACAGATGCACTGCGACCAGAAGGGGAAAGTATCGATATTTTCTCGCCATTTGGAAAATATGACGGAGAAATACCCAGACCTTGTGTCCTTGGTCCCGCAAATCAGAGGAGAGGGCGTCTCTAGCTTCATATTGGAAGGAGAGGTTGTCGCGGTAGACAACAAAACCGGTGAACTCCAGACGTTCCAAGTCCTGACGAATCGGGCAAAGAAGAATGTGGAGATAGGAGCAATCAACATCAATGTTTGCCTTTTCGCGTTCGACTTGATGTATCTAAACGGCGAGCCACTATTGGATCGGCCTTTCCGCGAACGCAGAGAGTTGTTGCGCAGCCTATTCGTGGAGATCCCAAACAGATTCACTTGGGTCAAAAGCCTTGATGCCACGTCCGCGGACTCCGAGACGGTCTTGGAGTTCTTCAAAAGCGCCCTGGGGAACAAATGCGAAGGAATCATGGTCAAGGTGCTTGACAATGTACCCAAGGCAAACCTTGAACAGAATAAGGAGGCCTCGACGAGCAACGGCATGGACATGACGAGCGGGGAACCGCTCGAAAAGGCGGGCAAAGGCGGCAGACGAAAGGCGCTCTTATCAACATATGAACCAGACAAGCGGCTCGAGTCGTGGCTCAAAGTCAAGAAGGACTACAATACCTCGTCCGAGACTCTAGATCTGATCCCCATCGCCGGCTGGCACGGACAAGGCCGAAAAGCAAAATGGTGGTCCCCTATTCTGATGGCCGTCCGCAACCCAGAAACGGGCAGCCTCGAAGCAGTCACAAAATGCATGTCCGGCTTCACGGACAAGTTCTACCAGGCGAACAAGGACAAGTACTCCGAGGGAACGCCCAACGTCATCTCCCGGCCTGCCTATGTCGAGTACTACGGCGAACCCGACGTCTGGTTCGAACCGCAGGAGGTTTGGGAGATGGCGTTTGCCGATATCACCTTGAGTCCGACGTACACGGCAGCCATCGGCTTAGTGAGTGAAGAGCGGGGACTGAGCCTCCGGTTTCCCCGATTTCTCAAAGTAAGAGAAGACAAATCAATAGACGAAGCCACCACATCGGACTATCTGGCTCTCCTGTGGCGGAAGCAGGCCGAACGGAAGAGAGAAGAGGAGCAGCACCTCGTCAAGGACACAGAGCAACTAGGTTGGCAAGAAGAGTAGAACAGGCTTGGGACTCGGACGAATTTACTAAGCAGTAGGGAGCTGGGATTGATCTAGTACGAACCTATAAGCCATTTGGAGATATCTCGCTCCATGTGCACACTCTAAAGCCTTGCAAAATCGAATACTTAGAGCCCCATCAGTAGTCAGTATGGCAAAATATCATGTGAGCCTGAGGCAGAAACTGAACCACAACGGATCTATCAGATGACACTTTACCTCAATGCGTTAGACCAGAATCCCGCCAGCTTGGTCCTTGGCGCTATACTAGCTATATTCGCTCTAGCGCGAGCGCGAAATGAACGCGTGTTTCCCCAGTCAATACGCGTCGCGTCTGTTTTTCCTTGTTTTCAAGTTTTTCCTTGGCCTCTTCATGATCCGTTTGTCATCTTTCATGCCGCTTGAGATTCTCTTGTCTGCAAGGTTGGTAAGGAGATTTATTTATAGTGGCATCCACTACACATGGTGACAGATTACTCTCTGCTCTTTTGATACTTCAAGTGCGTTGCTGCAAATCGCAGGGTGTTGACGCTACGTGACTTGCTTGATTGCTGTTTGGGTTCCAATTCGGTAGTCGGTCGAGTGGATTTATTGACTAAATTATCAGTCATGGAATGCATACTCCTGCCCTGTGTAATCACAGCACTAAATGAAGTGAGACTTGTAAAAATCGAGCCATTGACACTTCGCGTACTTTTCTACCTTGCGGACACCGATCTGACAAGGTAACAACTAACATAATTAAAGATATCAGACAGACAGTGTGAGAGTTCTGGATAAGCACTGCTCGCGATGCATTCACAAAGGAGATTGAAAACGGAGCTATTCAAGATAATCTGACATAGGAAAAATGGCACGTATGAACAGTTTATTGTAATGGTCATCGCTCGGTCGCAGTCCGCCAGGATAGACCAAGTCAAACATAAATGTGTAGAAATCAATCAGAAGACTAACCGGGGCATCATAACGAGGACAGAATATGGCGTGTCATGTACATGTAGTATGGTCATTAATAGTCGTTAAAAGAATCTTTGAACAGAGAAAGCGAGAAAAGACATGTCAGCCAGTTAGGGCCTTGTGACGAAAGTCTACGGTCGCAACTCTCCGCCAAGTTGAAGAGCAAGGCCGGACTCTTTTGGCCGATTTTTTGGGCTTTCCGCGCTCGGTGGCAGTAGATTGTCAAAGTTCGGTCTTCTTCTGGCGTCTCTGTTCGCCAGAGGAGTCTTCATGGGTCCTCCAGGCGTCCGTCCGCCTCGAGCTGGTTGCGCAGGACTGGGAGTGACATTCACAAAGTCCGCAAAATTAAACTGTTGGCTTGGAGTGCCGAAATTTGGAAAGACACCACCGCCCCCAGGCGTCGGGGTCAATGTGGGCAAAACGGCATGTTGGCTCGGCGGAGTTGAGGGTGGAAAATCGCGAGCTTGGGCTTTGCCAGCGATGCTAGCGGGTGTTGGCGAGTTTGCAAGATACAGAAGCAGATCGGCGCCATCCTCATGAAGCAGATTTGGGTCCTTGCGTGCCAGGCGAGCGTGCTTTGGAGGTGGCGTCCTAGGAGGGGAAGAGCCAACCATCGAGCTCACATGCTGGAAACTATGCACAGGCAAATCTGGATCATTCTCTTCCTCTGAGTGAGGGTAATAGGCCGGGGACGAAAATTCCGGGATTGTCTCAGCCACGAACGGCAGAGGTTGGTGCCGATGCGCAGCATGGTGGTGAAACCCTGGTGACGACGCAGGCAAGCGGTACGAACTTTTCCACGAGACTCGTGGAGCCTTAGAGGGACGATCCGATATTGAATCGGACCTCACTCGCTTCCGACTAGCAGACAACATGGGTTGCATCACCCGAGAATTGAAGGTGGCCGCATGTCTGTTCCGTGACGAACGAGGAAGTTCCTTCGAATAGGTCGCAGTGCGTAAGGGAGGAGAGGTCATAGGGGTCTCGCAACGGCTATGTGATATCTCGGACGAGGAATCGGAGGGCTTGTCATTGGCAAGGGGAAATTGTCGACCACCGCTCTGGTTTGACTCGAGGGCAGGTATACGACCATTTTGATATTTGACTTTGGCAAGGCCTAAACGATCCTGTAGACTGAGAGAGACCTGGAGTAAACCAATTCCAGTCAGATTGTAAAGCTCTTGGGAATAGAGACAGAAACAGAAAAGCTAGGTGAAATAGCGTTCATGGACCCTTCAAAAGGCACTCACCTGGGCTATGTCAATTTTGCGGATTGTCTTCTCGGAGTGTATCGATTGCAAGCGAGCCATTGCTGACGCTGATGCATAGGAAGAAAAACTATATTAGGAAGAACAGAGATTGTATTTTTTTTTCCCCTTTGCCCTTCCTTGATCATGGGCCAGGGAGAATGGTTATGATGCTAGAGAATTGAAGTGACAAAAAGGGTCTGGCTCAGGTCGAGTTGAGGAAGAAGCAAGGGCGGCTGAACAGTGGAGGGGAATAAAGGAAGACGGGCCAGGTTCAGGAATGGAACCCCGTTTGGAGAATGACAATGGTTCGCTGGGTGACAGAACAAGAGTCCCGGGGAAAGGCTATTCGTTGGAGAGGAAACGGATTTAATCTGGATTTGATTTATTATTATTTTGAACAAGTTGAGGTTCACTTATGCCTGGCACGAGACCAATGAGGTAACCAGGAATAGAACGTAGCCCAAAAGTGACTAGATAGATCGATTAATTCCCAACAGCAGGCGGGCAGGAATCATGGTGAAGACAAGGAGAACTTAGGTAGCCATGATAGAGAGTTAATTGAGGAAAGAAAGAGCAACTGAATTAATGCCAGGAAACTGGTGGACCTGACTTTGTTACTTTGTCGAAAATTGAGAATGGGATAGACTCTGCGTACTTTGCGCCTGCACAAGGGAACGCTTTCGGTCGCTTGCTCTCAGACGTTCATGTCATGACTAGGTAGACCATACATACAGATTGGTTCAATATACCGTTAGACATCCTATTACCATACTATCTATCTACTTGTCCACAAGTTTATTTCTATATCTTCATTCTCAATGGGACGATTGAAAGTCGAGATGCAGCCAGAGGAATGACAGATGCCAAAGCCTCGAATTGGATACCTCCATTCTTCCACAAACAGTTTTCTCGGTTTTCTGCGCCAAAAGCCCCGTTTGATCTACCATTCGACATGTTGCCAAATAATAACAACAATAATAATATAATATGGAGTCGGAATGCTACAGCATCTGACCTGGCAGCGGTAGCACGCTGGCAAATGGCAATACTAATGATATGCGAGGGGGCAGAACTCCGATGCATTCCTTCATCAGTGCCCCTATTTTCTTCGGTTTCGTTGCCCTTGACTTGTATCATCAGCACCTAGATAGCTCCTACAAAAGGTACTTCGTTCCTTTACAGCCCTGAAACGACAGGAGTGGATCCATTAATTCCCAAATTTCGTCCTGGGAAGGGGGCAGAGTGTGGATAGATACGGAGTATCTAGAAACTTAAGCAGACAGGGAAGTACGGAGCTGACCAAGTGCCGCATACTTGCATTTGTGCACTTGTGCAGTCTAATCTGCAAGTCTGCAAGTACTACCTGCATCAGTCAGGAGAATGATAGGATCAGATCATCGTGCGTGTGGTCTGGGCCTCAAAGCCACCAACACCAACCTTGTCAGCTAAGACGGTTTTTGAAATCTTCCCAACACATTGCTTCCAGTTTCAGAAGCAGGATCATCAGCGTCCAGCACAGTCAGAGACGCAGAAACACCCTGGATGCCAGAACTATGAGATCTAGGAATCTACAGGAGCAATTCAGTTTACCAGTTGAAAACTGTCTTCAGATTATCATCCCAGAATTTTACAAAATATGATGGAACACTGCCTAGACCATGGAGTCGATAATGTCGGTCGCTGAAGTGTTGCTTGGTTTCATAGATGGCAGACAAACTGACAGATTGTCTACTTTCAAGATCGCCAAGAGGTTCCTTAAGCTCCTGAAGATCATTCTTTTGATAAAAAGCTGACACGAGGGGAAGAGGGAACCCATTTCAGCAAATTTATCAGTAAGGTGCGTCAACCTGAAAGCTGCAGTTGCCGCAAAGCAGACCCACCATCAAGAATAGTTATTAGGTATGAGGTGGAAAATTCGCCTGTGGCTAAGGGTGTATCCTCTTGATTCATGCGTTCTATCGTCCTGGATGTTGTCTCGGAAGGGATTTACCATTTACCAGAGACGAAATCCAAGTGGTGTCCTTCGCGATATGTCCCTAGGGATACTTAAATCTAGGTCGTTGTATATAACATTCTGCCACCTTAGGAGTAAATCAGGAGTTTAACAGTTATACAGCGAAAGCCTTGAGGACTGTCTATTGTACTAGTGAGTTAGTGCTACTGAGACAAGATTAGCAAAAGAGCATCCCGCACCAGTATGGCCTTGGTTATATTCTAGTAGATGGACTTAGGATGTGAGACCATGGAAGTCAGTGAAACTCGGACGGCATCTCAACTTGTTATGCTAACTATTTGACGCTGTACCGTTGGCTGGCGTGCATGTCCAGCCTACGTAACGCGCCCTTGTCCAAGCGCAACGGACAGGCAGTGCGACGAGGGACAGGGTGGGAATGACCCACTTCGGTGTAGCTATGATGATGGTGGTGTTGAACTGTTCGACTGGTAAAAGAATCTAGAAATTCCGAAGGATCGTCTTTGCATTGATACTTCTACTTGTATTTATCTAGATATATGCTGCTAGAATTGGAACTGTTGAGATAGAATAAGAACAACGGACAAAGTCTCAATAGAGATCCAGTGATAGAAATAGATACGGCACCAGTTTCTTCAGGGTTTCTGGTAAGGCAACTATGTGATGATGGACTCCATCACCCATACCATCAATCCACTCTAGGCAACTTAAAAGGCCACTAATAAGGTGTTGATACTACTAACTTAAGATGCTAAGGATGCTAAGAGATTAACGGGCTTACCGGGCTACTAAAAGTAGCTGCAGCCTGCCACCATCACGTCTAACTAACCACCTAACTGCAAGCTAGTAGTAACTTGCTCCAGAAATCTTTCTTGTTTCTTGTTTTTTCTCACGCTTATCATTTTTCCCTTCTGCTATTCTTTCCATTGCCTTCATCCTTGTCCCAACTATCAGGTTTTCCCTGCTTTCCCCTCGCTTTTTCAACTCTTGTCCCTCCTTCTGAAAATCATCGTCTTTTTTTGCTACAACAGACAACATAGTGATACTGGTCACAACACTAGAAGAAGCTCATCACCAATTTCTATAACTACTAAATGCGGGAGTGGTTGATCACCCACTGCCAATTGGTCGTCAGCCCGTAACCGCAAACGGTCGCTGCGGCTTTGCCTCTGTCCGCCCATCGTCCTTACCCTACTTACCTACCTTCGGTAAGGCGGTTCTCCCCGCGACAGCTGCCCTGACGGACCCAGGGCAGCCAGTTCCGTTCCTCTCCTTCTTTCTCGCAACTTGAGGAAAAGAAAGGGTCGGTCGCTCGTTTCTCCTGCTTGGAGGGGTGGTAAGACACTTGAGTTTGCTTGGAAACAGAAAGGAGGAAAGCCATCAACCGCCAAKCTACGTGCTAGGCACCAAGGAAAGAAGAGGCTCTTTGCCTCCTTCCAATTGCAGGGAATTTCTCGTTGAGATTCGTTCTTGTCGTTCTTATCCAGACCCCTTTCAGAAGGATATCCATCTACCTTAACAGGGGTAGGCTACTCACGAAATGCCGTTCTTCAAACCGTTGCGTCGCCGCTCCAAAGCGAATTTCCATACAAGCAAATCCAACGATTTCAAGCTCGACGAGTCCCAGTCCAATGGCGACATGACGTCCGGAAAATCTTCGTCGACTCTCGACACAGCTTCATACAGCTCCGTCACTCCGCCTTCTTCTATCAAACTCAATGCGTCCTCCCCCAATCTCCCCGCGTTGACCGAGGTCAATAGCAATGTCAATGGCACAAGTACCCCGCTTACTGTGCCCCCTCAGCGACCTGGTCTTGCCCCGGTTCCTTCGTCCCAGCGAAATAGCATGATTGTACGTCATGTTGACATTGTTTACTCTACTCGGAGGATGGTTGACGTTTGTTCATTTTGGTTCTGACTGCTCCGACAGGCTGGTAGTACAATTTCAATCAATAGCGCCCGATCACCAAGTCCATCCTCTCCCTACGCTCCGAGGATTATCTCCATCTTGGATAATGCATGGGTACGTGCTTTGCGTTGTCACTACCTGAGTGGCTTCGGAAATTTCTATTCCTGTGATCCGCTTGTCAAAGAACGTGACTAACAGCTCTCTCCTTCCCGCAGGTACACCAAAAAGTGCTACTGATATATGGACAAATTGGAGACCCAAGGCAACATCCGCTGGACGGAAGTGTAACGGTATACCACCATCAAGACGGATTTCCTTCGATCGGCTGGCCGGTCACCTCCTCTCATTTCAAAGCCCTAGTGCATTTAGTTCCGGGTCCCAATCGGTTACGGTTCGATTTTGTCTCCACGAAGCTGTCAACTGGCAGCATTTATCCTGCCATTCATTCCTCATGGATCAGCATAAACTATCTGCCATTAGTCAATGCTCCTCCCTTACAATTGGTGATTCTGCTTGGCAAGGATTCGGATGGGACTTTCGATGCGGGACCAGAAAGGCAGCAGCGGGAAGGGAATGACCTCGAAACTGCAATCCGGAAATATCGAACGGCGGCTTACTTATGGCAAGCGTTCACCGCTGAGCAGATGTTCCGTAACAATTTTGGGCGGCGGTGTTTCCGATTCGAGGAGGAGTGGCAGACAGGCACTCTAAGCCGTCGTGATGCGACCAATGGCTTGATGCGGAATGAGGCCAAGGTTCATGTTGTCCGTACCGACAAAACAGTAGCAGAACTCCGTGCTCTCGATATCGCTCAGCAGCATGGTCCTGCGGCTAAGAAAGATGAATTGTTCAATATTGCCAAGGAAGCTGTGAAGGACTACTTCCGACCGCAGGAGGGGCAAAAGCAGTACGTTTCGGTTTTGCTTCTGGATTCTCACTGGGACAAGGCATCCAAAACGATCACCGGCCACGCTGCGCTGGGATCTAGTGGGGACAATATCAAGATGGCGATATTCGGCTCCCACTGTCTCCAGAGTTACCCATCTTGTCTTGAGGAAGTGGTGGAAGCTTTCTCCGACTGTACTCGCACCAACACTGACTTTGTAGCGAACGACTGCGGAGAGGCGGGCTCGAGTTGGGAAGCAGCGAACATTGGTATTGGAGCTCACCTCCACGAAG